TACCCTGCAATGACTGTGAGTTAAGTCAACTACATAGGTGAGTCAAACTAGTAGATCAGGCAGGAGTAGTGAGATTATCATGGCTTTCTTAACTTCTTCGTAATTATTTCACTTGGTATATCGCCCATGAATTGCAGCCATATAGAAAGAGGCTTCTTGTTTACGGGTAGTAAGTAGTCCTTTTCAACTTTCTTAGTCATATGTTTCCTGATGAATTAACCTGTATAGTTATTTTCAATCAAGGTATCATATACAATCTTTAGTTCATCTGCGGTCACCTCTTTTGAGCATATAGCTCTAACTCTGTGGCTGAGGGTCTTTACTAAATTTTTTTGTACTTGAGAGGAACGAAGCTGTGAAAGTGGGTATATTGTCCTGTCCATTGTCGCATTAATTATTGTATTTATGTCTGTATCTGTTATCTGAAGAATAGCGTCTTTAGCCATAATGCAATGAACTATGCACGCTAGGATCTTACAAGACGCAGTATGAACTTGAAGCTAGAGGCTTGAAGTTTCTGTAGCAGTGGTGTTTATTTTTACAGGATGGGCTTGCTAGCCTCACGCCCAAACTTTCCTCTTTGCCAGTTCTATTACTAGCTTAGTGAGGTAAAGCAGTGCCTCGGTCGGGGATTGAACCCCGGACCATGTGTATGGTCAGCGAGCGTCCTAACTGCTGTGCCACCGACGCAACAACTACCTTTGAACCGGATTATTTGGACGTCTGTGGGCGAGCAAGAAGACACGAATACGTTAGATCGAAAAGAAAACTCAGAAAATATGGAGGAGAAACTGAAGATGGATTGAGCACACGCCTAGGAGGAGACCATCAGATGAAATCTCAAGTCAAGCTACCTCTCGGCTGGAACCCGAATGGGAAACGACGATTTGGGCCTGTGTCCCAAGGGTGACACAGACAAAATCATGCGAGGAGGAGATGATTGAGTGTGGGTAGTCGCGAGGCCAGTTGAAGAGGATCGCAGAGAATAGGATAATATGGAAATGTGCTGTTGAAGCCGTTTGTTCCACTTGGAACCCAAGGGAACAATACTATAAAAAGAATACATTTGAATTTCGGACTGTTTTATCTATGATCTCAGACGTGTAGGATTATTTAAAGTGTAAAATTTATGCAAGAAAGAATATCTACACCTTCATTTAACCTGCTCAGGAATGATTTTTCGTCTTCTTTTTTTCTCTCCTTCTTTCAATAGCCATGGCCTGAAGATGGTTTAATTCGAGTTGCTAACAGAGCACTTCAAAATTTAGATATGGAAGATGATGTTCGTGAATCTACTGTTCATTTATTCAAATATTTTCATACATCTATTATACCATTATCACAGAAATTCTTAAGAAATTTAGGTCGAAAAACCTATGTTACTCCTACTTCATATCTGGAATTAATAGACAGTTTTAAAAGACTTTTAACTCAAAAACAAAATGAAACAAGTAGAGCTAGAATGCGGTAAGTGAATATTACTCGTTCACTTCATTTTCTCCATGAAAAATTCTTTTTACTAGTTCATTTCTAAATACAGTTTGAAGTAGGACTGTGTTTAATTCGGTTCTTCTATTGTTTTTGAGACTCTGGTATATTGGAGAGATACTAGGAAAGGAGATTTCCCCCCCCCATATATCTGTCTAGTGAACACTGTGAAACAGCACTTCAATAAAATTCCCCACATCAAGTAAGCGCTGTACTGAAAAGTTGAGAAGCCCTGGGTTTGCAATAAAAGCAAAATGTGCTAACAGAATCCCCCATTGAAATAGATTCTTTTTGTAACGGTGTCTATTGATTTATTAATTTCTTCATATGGTCCGGTTTGTATGTGAGTATTCACCTTGTCCAAGCAGTCTGATTTGTCTAATATTACTGTTGTGTTTCTTTTGTCTGACTTTGTGATTACTAATAGCATCCTTGTTATTCTTAAGGTGTGTTTTGGGGGCTTCCATCTTTGGTTTTGTCGGGTAAGGCTTTCCTCATTTTTGTCGTTTTAATGTTCGTGCACATTGTGCCCGTACATTACATGATGGTTAATGACAGGAAAATTTTGTAATACTCATAGTGCTAATATAGTCGGAACCAGTGGATACACAAAAGAACGAATACAGTAAAGTATAAAAGTAAGCCAATGTTAATAATTTAGGTAGCTAAGTATGTTTGAAGAAGGAGTTCACTATAGAATACAGAATAAGAGAGAAATAAAAGAGCCTAAAATTATGTTGTTAATAACAAAGCAAGTCATAGGTTTCACGCTTAACATTGTCTCTGTCAGGTGAAATACATAGGTCACAGTAGCAGAATAGCGGAAGTCAGACCAACCAAGCTCCGATACGGACTGTCCTCAAATATTTACTAGATATGTTTTCTTGGAAAAGAACTATTGGCGGAACTGGACTGGCTTTATTGCTTAGTCCAAATGATATGCAGTACAAATTTTTCGGTCGTGTTAGATTTAAATACCTGAGCAGTAAGCGGTCAATCAAGGGTTAAATATAAAATAAACGGAATATTACCAGGACATTTGTCTTTCTGCATCGATGATATTTCATACATTTATTCCCCTTAATGGATTTGAATAAAGAAAGAACAACAGATTTTGAAGAATAAAATGGTACCATCATTGTTTATTTCGTTGGCCTCTCATCAACTGTTTACGGTATAAAGTCATTATTAACTGCATCTACAGAAACGATTTTAACATGCTTCCACAGAGTTCATTCTTAAACAAAAATCAGTGAGTCAATATGTGCATACAATAATAATATATATAATAATAATAAACACTTTATCTTGAACAATAATGATCATACACAATGGAAACTTTCGGCATTACGTAATCAGATGAAAGAGAGGGTGAAAATATTCAGTTACCAGGATGGGCAAAGAAAGACTGATAACCGCTTCTTTCTGAACGCACGCATAAATCGGGTTTCAGGCGCTTGATGGAGATTGCTTCGGTAAACTTGAGGAGAATTGAACTCTTTTGCCTATTGATAATTTTGAACGATCTTTCTGTGTGCACCTCATGGCCTGTGTCGAGGAGATGCCTGGAGACGGCACTGTTGAAAGCATTTGTTCTCTTTAGACATGGGTGACTGAAACCTGATTTCTGCGTTCATAAAGAAGCAGTTGTCAGTCTTTCTTTCTCCATCCTGGTAACTGGATATTTTCACCCTCTGTTTCATTTGATTACGTAATGCCGAAAGTTTCCATTGTGTATGATCATTATGATAAAGGTCTTTTGTATTTCCCAATGAATAAAAACAAAACGACATCGTTGTTTTTACTGACGTTTCGCCATTTAATGCTAATAGCTTTATCAAAGTATTATTAAACCGGAATTTACAAAATCTCAGCATATAAATAACAAAGAGTTCATATAAAAGACCAGATCCTCAAAGATTCTCTATCTAATTGTGTCTATGAAATAAAATGTTTGGAATGTTATGCGATATACATCGGACAAATAGCGCTAAACAGAAATCAAGGTAGTCATAAGATATGAACACCACCGAGGAATCCAGTTGAACTAGAAAAACTTGAAATATCATCAGCCATAGGTCTACATGCTATAGAATCAGATCACAAAATTGATTTTGACAATATTGAAATAATCCAGAAAAAGCATTTCAAAAATCACAAAGAACGTCTAATATCAGAAGCACTTCATATCAAGTGGAATCCAAATTGCCTGAGTGGGAATGATGGACTAAAACAGAATCTGACCTGGTTACAACACCTCCCTCCCCCCCCCATGAAGTGACAAAATTAACACGAATGTGATATGCAAGTTCACTATGTAAACACACACACACTGCCTTTATAATTTTAAACACTGATCAAATCCAACAATCTACACTTGGTTTTGTTATCTTTACCAGTTGACCAACTTGACAAGGAAAAATGCCTCCAGACTGACGAACGATGATCAAGTTAGTAAACTTTGTTTTGACACCATAACAGACGAACTATTACCTTTGTTATTTGGTTTAGTGATCTTCATTGTTATTTTGACTTTCAATATGTCCTTTTAACTTGACCTAAGTCTATTTTCTCACCCCTTAACTCTTTGTTTTAGATATGCTGAGATTTTGTAAATTCCAGTTTAATAATACTTTGATAAAGCTACTAGTGGCATTAAATAGCGAGATGTCAGTAAAAACAACGACAATATCGTCTTGTTTTTCATTCATTGGGAAATACAAAAACCTTTATTATAATGAATATCATATACGCAATGCCCAAATTGTTTTCAAACTGTTAAAAGTGAACTTGGTTTGGACATATATATGATCATTATGGTTCGAAATAAAGTATTTATTATTATATATACTATTATTGTATGCATATTGATTGATGTTTGTAATTTCCAAATTCCCATTTATGCATTTAGAAAAAAAACAACAGATTGAGCGAAGAAATACGCATTCCTTTTCAATTAGTTCCTCATCATCCGGTCTACACTAATATATAGTCGCTTTTTACATCAAAATCTTTTTTTACCAATCAGGTGGTTATTCTAGTCAGTCAGTTTTAGATAGAGGCAGGGGTGAAATCAAGGGGTTAAAGGTCATAAAAACAAATAACTAATAGATGTTATACGAGTTGATCACGGACTGATATCAGTTAGAGAACCATTGAAAACAAACATTTAAACAAAGTAATGTAATACTTAGTTAGTTAGTTATTGCTCTTTTTCTTTTCTACACTATGGTATCTATGTTCATGGGTTTTTTGTTAATGGATATCGTTTTAGAATTCTTAGGTTATACAGTTGGGTCTCACACAAAATCTTGGAGGATCTTGACTTCGCCGATGATGTATCTGATTTCCCACGAACTGGAAGACATGCAAGCGAAAAGCAACAAGTTGGCAGAAGAAGCATTAAAGATAGGAAGGACTTCAGGTGAATATAGAGAAAACAGAGGTGGTGATGAAGATTCCTGGCCAACACCACCAACAGCAGCAACAACAGACAACAGTCAGCATAAATGGGAGAAATGTGAAAGAAACAACCTCTTTTACCTATCTGGGAAGCATCGTTTCAATTACAGGCGGAACTGACGAGGATATCAAAGCAAGCTGGGTGGGGTCGCGCTAAATCACGAATTGGTAGAAGTTAGAATTCATGAGCCATTGAATCGGGTCCCAGTGGCTGAATGGTATACGAGCTTGCCTTGTAACCGGAAGGTCCTGGGTTCGAATCCCAGTGGGTGCGTACTGCCGATGATTCCCAAACTAGGATGAAACAGCAGCTGTCCAGTACTCCAGTGCTGGTTTTCAATGGTTCTCTAACTGATATCAGTCCGTGATCAACTAGTAAAACATCACTAACCCTTACAAACCAAACTTTAGATGTTAGTTAGTAACAAGATATCTTAGTTTTAAAAGAGGGGTGAAAATTAATTACGGAGTTCAAGATAGGTCGATTCTTATGCGTTGGTAACAAGTTATTACAATCAAGCAATGATGACTGAGAAGAATAAGATGACTCAGAAGAATTACGTAAGATACAAACAAGTTAACAGAATTAGCTAAGAAGTATAAAGAAAAGAAAAGTCAAAAGATAGTTACAAGGGGAGGGGAAAATATCATTTAAAAAAAACTTAACTAATGTTAGCTCATGATGAAACCCTCCATGCAATCAAACAAAATCCCTACAAAACCAATACTTGAAAAACTTAATACATATTATTTAGGTGGCCATGGCATAGAAAGGGACTGTACAAATATCTTTTGAACACACAGTTTTGGCTTGTTCAGATGAATACCGATTGCCTCTGCTGTCTCTGTTTCTGATAAAGTGTTTATTATATATATATTATTATTGTATGCATATATTGAGTGATTGATTTTTGCTTAAAATGAACTCTGTGCATGTATTATAAATTATTTAAATTAATCCCAGCGTGTTCAAGAAAATCAAAACAAGATTTTTCTGAACGTTTCGCTGTGTAAGCCACAGCTGCTTTAGCAGATTTATTCAAATTTATTATTAATCAACAAAATATATATTTTCTTAACACGCTGGGATTAATTTAAATAATTTATAATGAATCAGTCTGACTCGGCGCTGAAATTATTCCAGGAAGTTCGTAACACCTACGACCTGGAAACCTATAATCTGTGCAAGTATGTTTAATAAAACTGTTTCTGTAGATATACTTAATAATGACTTTTATCTGTAAGCAGCTGAGCTGATGAGAAACCGACGAAATCAACAATGTTGGTACCATTTTTTTCTGCAAAGATCGCTGTTGTTCTTGCTTCATTCAATTTCATTAATGGGAATAAATGTACAAAATCTCTTCTTATTCGTGACCTTTCTTAAACATTCGCCTTTTCTGCATCAATGATATTTCTTGTAATATTTAGTAATCACAGCTTTTACACAGCACTCTGAAAGTAAATTTATAGAGAGTAAATTGGTGAAAATTGAAATAAATTCATGAAATCCTGTAACCAATCAAATCCCTACAAACCAACACTTGAATATCAATGAGATGATCACTAGCGACTTGCCCTATTCAGGTAGGTATTTACCCGGGGTTCTTGTGACAAGTCGTGACCAGTAGGGTGCAGCAGGTCGGGTGTGAGGACAAATACTCGCTAAAGACATTGGCTAGGGGGTCGCGCTATGTGTTGAATTGGCAGAAGTTAGAATTCATGGGCTGGCCATTGGATAGGGTCCTAGTGGCTTAATGGTATACGAGCTCGCCTTGTAACCAGAAGGTCCTGGGTTCGAATCCTGGTGGGTGTGTACTGATGAAGAGTCCTAAAGCAGGACGAAACAGTTGTCCAGTGCTTCCTGCAGGTTTTCCAATGGTTCTCAAACTAATGTCACCTCATGATGAAATCCTGTAACCAATCAAATCCCTAGAAACCAACACTTGAAATTGGAAACAGTCTTTTAAAAAAATCATTTGCATTATTCACTACCTAAATTTATAAACAATCTGATACATTTAGAAAAAAATTTCAAATATTGGTTTTGTAGGGATTTTGTTTGATTATTTGAAGAATTTCATTATGAGTTGACATCATCATTTAGAAAAGTCTTGTGTGTGTATAGAATATGTGCAGTAGGTCGTTTGAATATTTTGCATCAATAGACTTCCTTGTTCTTGGGAATGAGATCTCACCTAATCAAAGGAAATGTTTGTGAGGTGATGATCGGATGATGTCAACATTTCAAGGTGTAATATGTACATATATATAAACAGTTGACGAGTCCCAAATAGGACGAAATGCGCATCCTGGATTCCACTGCTAGCCATCATCCACACATTCAACCTTTGTGGTTCAGAATAAAATTTCTTATTGTCAGTAGAAAGTTTGAGCATTGTGGATTAGATCAAATAAATTATAATTATATTTTAGTGGTTTATATACAATAATAAGTTTTCTTTTATTGTTTTTTGGTAATATTTTGAGCAAAATTACTGTCCGTGATCACACCAACTGTGTTGGAATTGTTTGGTTTTTTTAATTCACACATTTATGATTTGTACTCATATCTTTGTAGCGCTTTTTTTGTGTCCCCAATTATATTCAAGGTTGTTGACAGTTGTACTGAGTCACTCTTGTTACATGTATCCAGCGTGTGACCTTAATGAATATCAATTCTGTTATACGTCTCTCTTTCCATTTGTTCATATTAGTTTTTAGAATACACACATTGTTCCAATCGATTTTGTGGTTTTTGTCCCATGCATGCGCAGCTATCGATGAATCTTTTCTAAATTCTTGTAAGCTTGTGTTCCTGTGGGATAATGACCTTTGGTTAGGCAGGCGTTTATCTTCATTCACTCTTATTTTAGTGACCTCGATGTTTGACCCACATATTTAGTCGGACACTCGGCACAAGATATTTTGTAAATTCCAATACTACTTTTATCCATCATTTTTATGCGATGTCTCAGTTGATTAATATAATTTTTAATTAGATTCGTTGGTTTAAACGTTGTGCAAATCCCAATATTTTTGAGGTCTCTTCGAATTGCCTCTGATGTACCACTGTAGTGTGGTGTTGTGACTTTCATTTTGCCTTCCTCCTTCTTGTTATTCTCCGGTTTTACCCTCTTTTTTTCTCTTTTTTTATATTAATTCTGATGAATTCCTTTGAGTAGTTTTTGTCGAGTAACATTCTGAATGGGACGTTTATTTCTTTACGCTGGTACTCTGGTGTTGTTGTAAGTCTACGTATTCTGTCTGCGAGACCTTGTATTAATCCTCGTTTTACCGTGAGTGGATGAGCTGAGTGATGATAATCAAGGAATCTTCCAGAGTGTGCAGTTTTTCTTTATAGCGTCGTTTTTATGCTACCATCTGTTACTCTTTGTATTTTGCTGTTTCCTAATTTCATTCTCTATTTCCATAGTGAATTTTATTGAATCGACATGACTGTTTATGTGTGAGAAGAATTTCTCAATATCGTTTTTTTCACTATTACTAACGTGTCGTCTACATATCTCAACCAATATTTTATTGAAGACCTGAATGGTTTAAGTGCTTTCTTTTCCCCGAAATCCATATGTCAGGTATTATTGGTGAGATGGGCGATCCCATAGCTACTCCATTTTGTTGGTATATTTTCCCTTCGAATGTGAAATATGTTGTTGTCAGACAAAATTCCACCCCTTTTATTATATCTTCTATGGATAACTGTGTTCTATCTTTTAGGCCATTATCTTCTTTTGGTCTCGTTTTCAGTGCAATCATGGCCATTTGATTGGGTATTTTAGTATAGAGGCCGTTTACATGAAAGCTGACTAGTATTTCCTCTTCCTCTATTTTAGTGGTTTTTAGTCGTCTTACCAATTCAAATGTATCTAATATTCTAGCTTTTGAATTATCTCTCGTCGGTCTTAGTATTGTTAAGAGGAATCTTGACAGCATATACGTTGGTGTGTTTCTAAAGTCTACAATTGGTGTTATCGGATATCCTTTGTTTATGCATTTTTATCTTACCACAGGTACCTAGGTATATTACATGATTTTGGCATAATTTCAAGCCATTTTGACTTACCAATTACTTGTTTCATCTGTCTTACCACCTTTGCTGTTTCTTTCATCGTGTTTTTGTGTGTGATTTCTTTGCCTGTTCACACGATGACTGCTTTTAGTAATCATTTTAGTGATGAACTCCTATTGGACAAATATGGTAGATCAATACTCCACATTACAATGTGATTGGTCTACTTAACTTGTGCAAACTACCAACAGTGAATAGCTAAATGGATTACTTTTTATAAATTGAACTGTTGTAATTTGGTGTCACGCATTCATATGAGCTGTGGTCAGGATTTGACAGAATAGTTCCAAAATAATTGGGCGCCAAGTGAGAAGTAGACATTTGTAAAAATATTATATTTGTAAAATCTCAGTGAAATTGAAATAAGTAATTCCAACGTTTCCTGCTTTCGGCAAACTGGTTCGAACATCTTCAGGGAAGTTAATCAAAGTTAACATAACAGAGGTTTATAATATAAAAAGGACATCCTTTGTTTTTAAAAATGTTGTCCAATCATATGAGTCATGAAACGGTCATCAAAAAATAATAAACAAAATTAAATTGTATGATCTGTGATCAAAATTTGACCTCAGACTTACAAATATTAGTGCACTTTTGTTAAACACTTTAAACAGAGTGTACTTTTAAAGTTAATTTTTGGATGGTAACTAGCAGTCAAATCCACGATGCGCATTTCGTCCTATTTGGGACTCGTCATCTGGATGTACTTGCATTCCACAGTGAGTGGATGCACCTGAGACCGAGCACTTCGGTCCAATAAATCGTTGAGAATATCTAAAATTGAATTAAAACAGTGTACTTTTCATCAGACAATTTTTTTGTTTATTATATTTTGATGACCGTTTCAGGGACAACGTTTTTAAAAACAAGGGATGCCCTGTTTATATTATAAACCTCTGTTATGTTAATTTCGATCAGTTTCCCTGAAGAAGTTTGGACCAGTTCGCCGAACGCAGGAAACGTTGGAATTACTCATTTCAATTTCGCTGAGATTTTACAAATCTAATTTTTTACAATTGGTGTCAATCATTTTACATTTTCCGCTAGTCATAACTACTGTCTTTATTTTGCTTTGATTGGATTTCTTTCCATAGTTATGTAAATGGTTTGGATAAATTGGCGTTCGCTGCTGAACAGGTCGCTGATATGCAAATCAAACTGGAAGAACTTCAACCTCAACTTGTATTGGCTAGTGAAGAAAATGAAAAACTTTTAACCGTTATAGCTACTGAATCAGTCGCAGTTGAAGAACAACGTGTAAAAGTTAAAGCTGAAGAGGAAATTGTCAACCAGAAGGCTGATGCATCAAAAGCCCTAAGTGAAGAATGTCGAGCTGATCTGGCTGAAGCTCAGCCTGCATTGGAAGCTGCTCTTTGCGCCCTGGACACATTGAAACCATCTGATATAACAATTGTGAAATCAATGCAAAATCCTCCACCGGGTGTTAAACTTGTCATGGAAGCAGTTTGTGTTATGCGTGATATTAAACCAGACAAGGTGAATGATCCTTCAGGATCAGGTAAAAAGATCAATGATTACTGGGGACCTTCAAAGAAATTATTGGGTGATCTAAATTTTCTGACTTTACTCAAAGAGTATGATAAAGACAATATTAATCCAGCGGTAAGATTTCCGAATTGATATTAATAGACTGAATCTCCAGTCATTGATAAAAATTCCATTAAAAGCAAAGAGACGTTCAGCGAAGAGTTATTACTTTGAATGGACACCAGTAACTAGTGTGACATGTCTAGTGCTTTCTTTGGTGCAGTCTGAATTCTATCAGTCCGGTTTGCAATGTAGCCACCATTCTAAGTAGCTCGCCATCATGTTCGGCGATATCATTCTCAAGCTGTACCATAGCACATATGTAGTAAATTATCTTAGCAACGAAATGAATGTCTCCAAGATTGTGTCATTCGAATTGTAAATTTTAGATAACAAATTTCGTTAACGGGTTAGAAACTAAAATAAGACTGAAAAAGCAAGTTGAGTGACGTAATCTAATTGAAGGGGTTGAGTAGAGTTCAGCTAAAATTAAGGTTGAACAAAAGTCAAGATAGTAGAGAATATTTTTACAAGCAAGAAAAAGATAGAACAAAAATAACGTATTTGGTGTTAAGATAGCTCAGGTTCATTGTAGATTCAATGACTGAACAAACTTCTTTTGTATGCAGAATTCAGGTTATAACATATGGATTGCCATTGCTTCTGCGGTTTGAAGAAGTTTAATTCGTACTCTTTTAGCAAGATTCTCATTTATTCTGCAGATAACTTTGAAGTTATTTCGTGATTTCGTTTGGCTGCCTGATTAAATCAGGTGTTTCAGAATAGAGCTTCGGGGGGACCTATTTTCTCCTTTTATAAGACCATGAGGGTAAATGCCCAATGATACGTTTGGATAGGAAACGCTGGATACGGCCGACATACGTAGCTTCGCACAAGCAAGTGAATCGGTAGACGCACATTGATAAGGCCGACAGTGGTAGCTTATCCTTCACGTTCATGCGAATCATTGGTTTCGTAGAGAAGGTTGGTTGGAGTTCAGCCATGAAGGAGGTTTTCTGTAGTGAGCGGGACAGGTGGTTTCTCAATATTCCTGCCGATGAATCTCCAGTGAATTAGAGATTCATGAAGGGAAGTTTTCCGGAAGCAGAAAATGTGGGCAATTTTTGCTGGTTTAGGTTTCATAGATTTTGTAATGAAACGTCCTGGATAGCCATTTTTGAGGATCCAGTTACTTGAATGTTTGTAGAGCTATTTCTCAAGTTCTCTTGATATACAATAAATCATACCTGAGCTTAGCAACGTACGAAACACCTCACATAATTCTGTGATTTGAAAGCTGCTTAGTGATTTTATGGTATGATGTAATATTATTTGTTACCAACAAAACTGACTCAGTGTGATCTGAATGCAGGAAAGTGATCTTTGCGTCCTACTGTACAGCTGGTTGAAACTTTCTTGAGAGACACACACAGTCACAAATTAGTCAATGAAAATTCAAATGTAGGAAGTACCCCAGGATCGAGCAGAATATTCCCAACAAGGTGGGATCAAAACTACTTTCACAATAATCCTTCAGATAGTCCAATGTTAGAATGAACTCCATTCATTCAAACCAAATCAAATCGTAAGATAACTCATTATCAGTGGATCACTAAAAGAAGTATTAAAATTAGAGATATTGTGATTTGATCATTCAAGAGCTTTTCAACTATATTCTTCTTGCATTTCCACTGGTTTTATCATCAATATACTACTGCAGTTCTCTGTAATTGTCAGTCAAAGAATTTACCTTCCAATACCTGGTTCCGTAAACGCCTACAAACATTCGTAAATAACTGGCATAGACTTTATCCCCATGGAATCGGAAAATAAACCAGTATTATTCAAAGTATACTGATATAATCATAAAACGTTTTGGAATGTATTTAAACATTCATTCATCTTAGGTGTATATCTTTCCAGCTTAGTTCTCTCTTCTGTGTTGAGTGGGGCTCAAAGTATATAGGCTTGTTCAAATATTTGTGCATTTCTCATCTAGAAAACAGAAAGATTGAGCGAAGAAATATTTACTTTTCAATTAGATCCTCATCTCTGGCTCTACTCTAATATATATTTAGCATTTTTATTACAATACACAACAGTTTACCAAACAAGTGGCGATATGTTTGTTAACAATAATTAAACAGTGTCAAAATGTCAATGGGTTGATAATTAACGAAGAAAATCAACACACATTTAAAAGGTAGAAATGGATAGAATAAATTAATTTTACAAGGATAACACGTAATTAAAGATGAAGTGGTCAGAAAAAATAATTTAGACAATTATAATTTTTATAGTTTTTAAAGGTTTAGGGGGAGGGGGGCGAAGTAGTCCGGTTTACACATTCATGTAACGATGGCCAAGGCAAGGAAAGTGGCTGCACAAATTTCTTCTGAACACACAGGTTTGGCTTCTTCAGGTGGATTCCTATTGCTTCAGCTGTCTGTAGAAGACGAACTCGTAGAGCAAAATTAAGATTAGTCGGAATGCGATAAATAATTTTAAATGCAGTATTAACATCAACCTTATGCTCAGTATCAACAAGGTGTGCTAAAATAGAGCTACGAATAGATCTTGTTTGTCCCTTGCTTAACCATGTGGATGATGTTCGGAAATACGACGATGAACCTGCCTAATTGTACGCCCGATGTAGCTGGCTCCGCAGCTGCAGTCAAACTGGTAGATACACATAGAGGAGGCAAATTTAGGTAGTTTATCCTTATTTCTCGAACATAGAATAGGGGTGGTTTTGAAGAGACAACGTACCTCTGCTGCATAATAAGCTCTTTTAACTGCATTCTTCAGGCGCTGTGTTATTATTTCGCTGATGTTATCTCCGAGGAACTGCAATTTTACGAACATTGGTTTTTTCGTAACTGTAGCCATACTGACTCTCCTAGGTGCTGAATTCATATTTTTCTCAATGAATTTATCTGGATAACCATTTTTTCTAAGTAATTCTCTAATTCTCTTCGTTAACATTTTGACACTTTAATTATTGTTAACAAACATATCGCCACTTGTTTGGTAAACTGTTGTGTATTGTAATAAAAATGCTACATATATTAGAGTAGAGCCAGAGAGAGATGAGGATCTAATTGAAAAGTAAATATTTCTTCGCTCAATCTTTCTGTTTTCTAAATGTCTAAATAGGGATTTTTTCTACATTTCTCATCTGTCTAGTCCAATATCTGCTGCTTATTTGTAGAAATGTAGTCACACGCTGTAATTCCAAAAGTATTTGCTGAGTGTTCAGTCGGCTTTTGATGTTTTCTATTAGTCGACTCAATGCACTTTGCTAGGTGGATCGTTTGATTCTCACGACGGACAACTTAACTCCTCAGAAAACATATTTCCGCTATATTATAGAAATTTCTGATTTAAATATGATATCTGTTTCAAATCATCTAATTCATCTTGTTTGTTATTTGTTCATTGACAGATAATGCAACGTATACGCAAAGAATTTATGACAAATCCTGAATTCGATCCAGTCAAAGTAGCCCGTGCAAGTTCAGCTGCTGAAGGCCTGTGCAAATGGATATTAGCAATGGAACAGTATGATCGTGTAGCTAAAATTGTAGCCCCGAAACGAGCTAAATTAGCTGAAGCTGAAGCAGAACTGGCGGAGAATATGGCCTGTTTGAAAAAAACTCAAGCTGCATTAGCTGAAGTTGAAGAAAAACTGCAGAATTTACAAAATCAACTAGAAGCTACACAGATTGAGAAACAGCGTTTAGAAGATGAAGTGCAGGATTGTGCTACAAAATTAGAAAGAGCAACAAAACTGATTGGTGGACTGGGTGGAGAAAAGGATCGTTGGGCACAAGCAGCAGATTATCTTGAAAAGCTGTATCATAATCTTACTGGTGATGTGCTTATATCAGCTGGTATTATCGCCTATTTAGGACCATTTACATTAATTTATCGAGACGAGTGTATTTCTGATTGGATTGCTCAGTGTAAAGCACAACAAATTCCATGTTCTGAACCTTTTACGCTGACTCAGTGTTTAGGCGATCCTGTGAAAATTCAACAATGGAATATTAATGGTTTACCACGTGATGCATTTTCAATAGATAATAGTGTTATTGTTGCAAACGCTAGACGATGGTAAGTTAACTAGATTTTCACTTGAATAGTTGAACAGCATTCACACAGATTTGAATATTTCAACAAACAAATAGAAATACCATATATTTTGTGCGGTTAGGATGCCCACCGACCATATACATGGTCCGGGCTTCGATCACCGGCCGACGCGTACCTGATATCAACGGTCGGTCTGCTAAATTTGGGCTGCCGATATCGCATGCTGAAAACTCAGGACCTTTGGGCCATGACGTGGGCCAGTTGACCAGTGCATCGATGGTTCAGTGGTTGAATGCCTGCTAAACCTCAAGGAAGGTATGAGTTGGTGCGGGAGAGAAGGAATAATAGTTGGCAGTTCCCTGCACAAGCCTGGATAGGGCACCTGTTGCCCACCCTCCAGAGGCATGAATCATCCGCTACGTCAAATCACTTTTTGTGCATCGGTGGCACAGCGGTTAGGACGCTCACCGACCATGCACATGGTCCGGCGTTCGATCCCCGGCCAACAAGGTGCTCCTATACTTCGCTAACCCAGTAATAAAACTGGCAAAGAAAAAAGGTTGGACATGAGGCTAGCAATCCCATCCTGTCAAAATAAGCACCACTGCTACTGAAACTTCAAGCCTCCAGCTTTGGGAACGTGAAGGAATAAAAAATATAGAAAAATTAGGTTGTAGGATTTGTGGGGATTTCATTTGTTAAATTTCGTCACGAACGAAAATCGGTTAGGGAGGTCATTGCAAACCAGAGAGCACTGGATACCTATTTCGTCCTAATTTTATATTCTTCATCAGTGCTCACCCACGACCCTACCATGAATCGGGCCTGGAATATTCACGTTACGAGACCGAACTCGTTGACTTTTATACGAGGATTGGCGGCAATTCCCCTAGTTTTAAATTAAGCTCATCATCTACGTATGTGTGCGTACATAATCCTGCTATATCCAGTTAACTAGAAGGAATGAAACATTTTGATTAGATGAACATAACCTGATGAGCAAAAGAGGAAAAATTCAACTCATTGTATACATTGACTAATACACAACAACACGAAAGAGTGGAACGGCCTGAAAGGCTAGTATAATTAGTAGGTAGGAGGATCCAATTGCTTATGAAGTGTATACTCGAATGAAACAAGGCTGTCTATTATCACCGATGATATTCCTTAATGTGATAGACTGGATGATGCGGGAGACTTTGGGTAACGAAAAGGCAGGAATACAATGGACCGATAAGAAGACTCTAGGAGATCTAGACTTCGCGGATGATTTATGTCTAATATTACACAAATCTGAAGACTGACTGGCTAAAACCAACATGCTGACAGAAGAAGCTGGCAGCAAAGCCAGTACTTTCAGTGAATATTGTGAAGATGGAGGTGATAAAGATAACCAACCAATAACAAAAAAACACCAATCATTGTCAACGGAAGAAATCTGAACAAGATCACTTCCTTCACTTATCCGGTGAGGCAGAGCAAACTTTCACCACTCAGGAATCAGTTTGAAAATACACTGTACTCGGTATAAAGTCAGAAAAGTGGAGCGTCAAGAGATTCGCTTTATGTAAGACTTAAGATTTTTAATGAACAATTGTCTCCTTCTTTGGCTTCATAATGAAGATTGGACGTTCCACCGGAAAGAATAAGAAACAAGTAACTCTAGGAACTAACCAATCAAGAACTTATTACTCAAAAAATATCCCTAAGAAAATGGAGATGGATTAAACAAACGCTGAGGAAACGACTAGGTGACATCTCGCCCCGGGCCGTCGCTCGATTGGAACCCGAATAGTAAGTGACGAGTTGAGCGTTGGTCCGAAGATGGCATAAAGCAGATCATGTGAGGAGGAGATGAAAGGTGTTGGACAATCCTTGGGGCAACTGAAGAGGGCTGTAGAGAATAGGACGAACTGGAAATATGCTACTGAAGCCCTGTGTTCCACTCGGAAAAAATAATAATGTAATAGGGTGAAATTCCAGGATCTCTCTCTCTTTCTGATTTCGCACGAAAATAGTAGTTATAAATGTCCAAATCATTGATAAAATAGATATGGGAAGTACCACTACCACTAAAACCAAAGCGTGAGAAACAACTGATCCATATATAAACAAAGTGGTTAAATTTAATGTGTACCACAACATGGTTATAAATTCGAAAAGTCATTGGTAAATTATACTGTGGCTTTAGGAATATCAAATATATTTAGTAAATTGGTCTAATATGCAAATATTATATTCTTGCACTATGGGAATTAGTTGTTATGATGACTTCTTCGTGTGTCATTATAGTGCATTGCAGGGTGAGTGAATTTCAGTTTAAAATGGACAATTCTGGATGAAGAAGGTAGACATTTGAATAATGCTGTACACCGTCAATGATTATTGCTTCTAAGTCGTGTATTAGGGAGGCTGAGTCGACTTAAATCTTCAGTGAGATTAGTTTAGGATAAGTGATGTAGGAGGTAACGAGAACAAGATATCGAATATTCCAGTCTGTTTTCCGACTAAGTCATGTAAGAGAATGTGAGGTGCTCCGATTCTTAGATGATGAAAACAATCGGTTAAAAATATTGGGTAAAATGATTAGAAATCAATTGGAATAGTGCATAGGTAGGAACCTTATGTCATTTTTAAATTTGGAGCATTATTATTATCATTGTTTCCTTTAGTTCCTGGAGGAACATAGGGCTTCAGCTGCACGTCTCTCTTGCATTCGGTTCTCTGCCAACGTTTTCACCTGGATCTACGTCTGCTCACATGCTTTCATCTCCTCTTCACATGACCTCCTCTATGTCACCCTAGCACTGAAGACCAGCTTGCCGCTTGCCGTTCGGCCGGGTTACACTCGAGCGATGGCCTGTCGTGTGATGTCACTTGGTGGTTTGTTTTCTCAAAGTATGGCCAATCCAATCCACCTCTATTTCTTCCTACGTGCATATTTTTTGCACAGTTGGTTCCTGCTGGGTTGGTTCGCTCATCGCCAGAGATCCCTCCCTGTGGTTGATCCTTCCTCGCCTACCATCTGATCTTGAGTAGTATTCAGAAGAAACAGCTGTTTATGAAGGTCCGGAGTTTTTTTGAGGTGCTGTTCATGACGCGTCAAGTCTCTGATCCATGTAGAGTAGCACTGACTTCACATTGGAGTTGAAAATCCGGATCTTATTTGTTATGCTGAGCATTGCTGATCTCCACACATACATGATGTCGATGAAAGCTTGCCTTACTTTCCCGATCCTCACTTTGATATCTTCATCAGTTCTGTCCGCTTGTAGTTGAAACGATGTTTCTCAGGTAGGTAGGTAGGTAGGTAGGTGAAAGAGATCGCTTCTTTCAGATTTCTCCCATTAATGCTGGCTGATTGTTGTCTGCTTTTGTTGCTGTTGCTGTTGGCCAGGAATCTTCATTACCTCTGTTTTCTCTATGTTCAACTGAAGTCCTTCCTATCCTCCCCGGATGCTTCTTCTGCAAACTTGTTGCTTTTCACTTGCATCTCTTCCAGTTTGTGGGAAATCAGACATATATCATCGACGAAGTCAAGATCCTCCAAGTTTTTTGTGCTGGTCCATTTTCTGCCTGTTTCCTCTCTGCCCGCTGTCTGTCGCAATATCCACTCTGTCGCAATCATGAAAATCATTGCAGATAGTAAGCAGCCAGTCAGCTTGTCTTACTCCCGTCTTCACTTCTTTGAAGGATTCCGTGAGTTTCCCGTTATGGATTACTTGGCATTCAGCATTGTCGCACAACTGTTGGATGAGATGTATAGTTGTTGACGCAACCAAATTAAGAGTGTATATATTTAAACTCATTTGTCATCATAATCCGTTTTAAATTCTGTAATCCTTGCTTGAATTCCTCTGACGTATGCATCACTGTATCACTGTGCCATGTAAACTCGTTTGCCAGTGTTAAAGTTGTTACAGTAATAATCCCAACAAAAAAGCATAGTCTGCCACATTGTTGAATCTTAATTATGCTTTCACATTGATCCCATGACTTTGTTTGATAATACCTTCTTCCCCATATCCATATTTTTGAACATGCCAGCGCCAGTTAATGATATTCTTTTATTCTCTCTGTCTTTTCCTTTGATTACTTTCTATGAATATGTTTCAGTAATTAAAGATAGAAAATAATGATTAAGTATATATGTATTTCCTTTAATTATATTCATGAAAGTGAATCATGTTATCCACGGAAATTCTCATCCAGACATGAATATAAGAACAACAAAGTTCGGCGAAGAGTTTCTTTTCGGCGGCGAATTCATACACATAGCTGTACAATCGCATTTATATATATATATACAGCTGTGAGAATGGATTGGTTTTATTGGCTGGTACTAGTTATTCTCATTGTTCGGCGATCTGACAAAGATCAGATGACACAAAGATGTTGAACTGATCGCTCATTGAATCACAGTACACGCGAAAAATGATAAATTAACAAAGTGACTCCATCACAAGATAATCAAACGATTCATGAGAAAGGATAATGTATCACCAATTCCATCTTCGCTTTGCTCACTTGATGTTTTATCTTCGCTGCTGCATCTGTCAATTTGTTGGATTTCACCTGCAAGTTTTGGAGTTTGTGTGACATAAGACATAAATCATTTGCGAAGGCCACATCTTCTAGAGTCTTCTTATCGGTCCGATGTATTCCTGTCTTCTTGCTCTCCACACATGGTGTTTCGCATAATCCAGTTCACCACAGTTGGGAATATCATCAGTGATAATAGGCAACCTTGTCACACTCCTGTATACACATCGATCTCCTCGCCGAGTTTTCCGTTGTGGATCACCTGATACATGGCATTGTCATACAGCCAGCTGTTGAATGAAGTTGATAAAGACTTGGACACTGCATGCCGTAGTGTTGAAGTAGTTTCCAAATTACTTCTCGGTCAACGCTGTCTGGTGAAGGCCTTTTCGAAGTCAATGAAGTTGAGGTAGAGGTAGATAAAGAGCACATAGTAATAATACTTCAGTAAAAATAATTACTGAATGTTCTTGGCCCCTACTTTTCCGCGTCCTGTCGGCGGCCTGCTTAAAACTTGTGCTGCCAAAAACTTTTATCTCTCAATTGCATATATTTCTCTCATTCGGTCTGTTTTTATCTATTAATATATGACCTCTAATGGTATTATCCACACTCTTGTGTGTATTTGAAATGTTTACAAGCAGCTTCTGATTTGCAAGTTCCTACTAAACTTGAGATTGTGGGTGGCATCGTACTCCAATACATGACAGAACTGTTCTTCAGTTATGTTCTTGGATCTCAAAATGTCTTTTAACCAGATATTGTGGATTCAATGAAGGAGACAAAGCAGATATATCATAATGGACTGGCTTGTACTTCAGCTGAGAGACCATTGTGTCACAGGAGGGATATACTGTCAGTTAATATTTTACTTGAAGATATTGTACGAAGGGAAAATATCATGCAATAAACTCCTCTGAAAATTCTGTACTTTTTATAAATACTGTCGAGAATAAAGATATTACTACTATTCTATTTAAAGGGAATAGCAGAAACACGAAGACCTGAAGTCATGTAAATATATGAGAAATCGATATTTAAAGGTCCCAAGTAACCTCATCCATAATCAGTAGTATTTTCTTTGCCATATTCAGTTTTACAACATATTATCATTATCATCGTTTAATTATTTATTATTATTATATTATTAATTCCTTCACTTTCCCAGTGGAACATATGGCTTCAAGCTACAGGCTTAAAGTTTCTGTAGCAGTGGTGTTTATTTTTACAGGATGGGCTAGCTAGCCTCATGCCCAGCCTTTCCTCTTTACCAGCTTTTTATTTCTGACTTGGTGAGGTAAAGGCGGAGTGCCTTGTCGGCCGGGGATCGAACCCAGGACCATGTGCATGGTTGGCGAGCGTCTTAACCGCTGTGCCACCGACACATGTTGTTTATTTATGCCACAATTAATTGGACAATTTACTCCTAACTAAAATACCTACTATGATTCAGATATGCGTCGGTGGCACAGCAGTAGAATACTCGCCAACCTCGGCTGATGTGTTCCGGGGTTCGGTACCCGGCCGACAAGGCACTCCTTTACCTTGCTAAGCCAGTAATAAGACTGGCAAAGAAGGAAGGTTTGGGAGGCGTGAGGCTAGCAACCCCATCCCGTAAAAATGAACACCTCTGCTACTGAAACTTCAAGCCAGAAGCTTGAAGCCCTATGTTGCAGCACTGGGAATGTAAATGAGTGCGAAAAAAATACTTCAGATAAGTTGGGTACTAAGAGTCACTGTGTTTATACTTACAGTTTATGATAACGTATCGATATATATTGTGATTAAATAACTTTCGAATTATTATTCGAGTTATTCATCATTTCTAGTGAATTTTTTAAAATTTTTTTCTCTAACCTTGAAGGCCATTAATGATTGATCCACAAGGACAAGCGAATAAATGGATAAAAAATATGGAAAAAGAAGCTGGAATCATTGTTGTCAAACTGACAGATAGTGATTTTATTCGAAATCTAGAAAATGGTATCCAATTCGGTTCTCCGATACTACTAGAAAATGTTGGTGAAGAATTAGATCCAAGTTTAGAGCCTCTATTATTGAAACAAACATTTAAACAAAGTAATGTAATACTTAGTTAGCTAGTTAGTTATTTATTGCTCTTTTTCTTTCCTACACGATGGTATCTATGTTCATCAGTTTTTTGTTAATGGATATCGTTTTAGAATTCTTGGGTCATAAAGTTGGGTCTCACGCAAAAACTTAGAGGATCTGGACTTCGCCGATGATATATGTCTGATTTCCCACAAACACTGGAAGATATGCAATCGAAAAGCAACAAGTTGCAAGAAGAAGCATCAAAGATAGGACTTCAGGTGAACATAGAGAAAACAGAGGTGATGAAGATTCCTGGCCAACACCATCAACAGTAACAACAACAACAGCATAAATGGAAGGAACCTGAAAGAAACAACCTCTTTTACCTGCCTGGGAAGCATCGTTTCAACTACAGGCGGAACTGAAGAGGATATCAAAGCAAGAATCGGAAAAGCAAGACAAACTTTCACTACTCTCAAGTCTGTGTGGAGGTCAACAGCACTCAGCATCAAAAATAAGATCCGGATTTTCAACTCCAATATGAAGTCAGTGCTACTGTGGTGAGAACTGGCTGCTAGCCAAAGTTGGTAGACAGTAATTGACATCAATGTTTATGTCCCCAATATTGGTGGTGAGAAAATGAGAACATAGGCTGTGCGTAGGCAGATACAGTTAGCATATGGATGATCTGACACAGCCACAAAGAGATGCAAGGCTAACTTTCTGTGAGAAACAACTAATCAAAAGATTGTATTTTCGGCTAACAATAATCTACAATAATGTACATTAAAATATATAAATATGTGTTGATTTTCCTTAATAAACGATCTGTTGCCTGGCCCTTGTCTTCTGTTGTTACACTACTATACAATTCAGAGACTTGGCACGTCATAAAGAGCATCTCAAACAAACTACAGACCTTCATTAACAGTTGTCTTCGCTCAATACTCAAGATCAGATGGCGGGCCAGAAAAGATCAGCAACAGAGATCTGTAGGAGCGAACCAACACAGCAGGAACCGATTGTGAAACAAATAGGCAGGAAGAAATGGAGGTGGATTGGATTGGCCATACTCTGAGGAAACCATCAAGTGACACCACTAGACAAGCCATTGCTCGAGTGGAACCCGAAAGGGAAGCGGCGAGTTGGTCGTCAGTGCGAGGGTGGGTGACTTGGAGGAGGTCGTGTGAAGAGGAGATGAAAGCGTGTGGGCAGACTTGGAGCCAGGTGAAGACTCTAGGAGAGAACCGAACGCAATGGATACGCACGGCTGAAGCCCTGTGTTCCGCTAGGAATTAAAGGAAACAATAATAATAATACAATAATACAGTTGGGCCTCACTGGTTGAGTGATCTATGAGCTTGTCTTGTGTTTGGCTAGATGCTTGCTGTGAAGAGTTCCCAAGTAGGACGAAAAGACTATCTAGTACTGTCCAGTTTTCTATGGTTCCCTAATTGAGATATCAGTCCGTGATCAGACTTGAAACAAATTTAATCCCTACAAACTAATTCCTGAGAAATATATGATATAGGGTACCTAAGAGAATGCGAGGCAATAATTGCTACTAATCTTTTTAATATAATCAGGTAAGAATTACCAAGTCAGATGAAATGTTGTAATAAATTTATTTCGCACATACAAGGAGGTTTTTAATTTCTGAACACTTTACGACGTTGATGGTCTTGCATGGACTCTCCTGTGTTATATTGACAAAGTGATTTGCTATGGAGCCGGCTAGTAATTTACTAACTATTCCTATTGATTGGCTGGAGGATTTCTTCGTGAGCTGACATCAGTTGGAGAACCATTGGAAAACCAGAGAGTGGTGGACAACTGTTTCGTCAGCCTAGTTTTGGACCCTTCGGCAGTACGCACCCGCCCACGACCTTCTTGTTACAAGGTGAGCTAGCTCGTAGAGCATTAAGCGACGCAGTGTGACCCAATCCAGTGGCCAGTCAGCCCATGAATTCTAACCTCTGCCAATTCACTCACCACATAGCACGACCACTTCGCAATATCTTCTTCGATGAGTCACTGTCTCACCTTCAACCTGCTATACCCAAATGGTCACGACTTCCCACTAGAACTCCAGGTAACTAATTGCCCACCTGAATAGGTCCAGTCGCTAGTGAGCATCTCATTGATATTCAAGTATTAGTTTTGTAGGGATTTTGTTTGATTGGCTGAAGGATTTCATTATGAGCTGACATTAATTTTTGAGATATTGAATTGTGGATAGCGTTATTAGAAGACGACGGAGATTATCTGAAAAACGATGTGATGTATTTGCGCTATACATTTCGAACAATCTGATCCCTCACACATTTACTTGTCAAGTCGATATATATGTGAAAATGTTAAATTAAACAAAGTGACAGAAAAAGATTTAAGAATGATTAACACAACGTTTGGTAATCCAATCAAATAAGGATTACCAAAGTAGGTAAAGAGTAATAATAAAATGTTTTTGAAGACACAGGGGGGGGAGCTTCAGTTTTTGAATAGCTTCAGCCTTGGTGTATTTCAATAAGCACCCTTGACCGTTTTTATAGATGACCTTAAAAGCTGAGTTAACATCAACTTGGACAAGGAAATACCTTAATTTTCACAGCTTCTGTCCATTACAGTATAAGAGAGGCTTGGTGAAATGTCTATTTAAGAGGATTCAGCGTATTTGTACGGTTGATGTTATAGAGAAAGAAAACGAAATATTGATGGATACTCTTGTTGAAAACGGATATCCTTTAAAACTTTTAAACAGGTGTAGAAGTCAATTAGTCTTTAAACCTACAATCCATACCGCCCGTAAGAAAAATGTTTTCATCAAATTACCATGTAACGGGGAAATAAACAATAGGATTTTGAGACAAAGGTTGAATTTGATCATCCGTAGAACCTATTATGCAGCCCGGCTTGTAATTGTGGAAAAAGCTAAAAATGTGCTTCACTGCAAACCTCAAAAGTGCACAAGTGATTATGTCACACCCCACACTATTTACCGATTTTCGTGTGTGTGTGTGTGGTCTCACAAGCATTTTTTTATTACCTTCACGTTCCCCAGTGGAACATAGGGCTTCAAGCTAGTGGCTTGAAGTTTCTGTAGCAGTGTTTATTTTACAGGATGGAGTTGCTAGCCTCATGGCCAACCTTTCCTCTTCACCAGCATAATTTCTGGCTTAGTGAGGTAAAGGAGTGCGTCGGCCGGGAATTGAACCCCGGACCATGTGCATGGTCGGCGAGCGTCCCAACCGCTATACCACACAAGCATAGGGAGGAGGAAACTGCGCTTTGCTTGTGAGGGTGGGAGAGCATATCCCAAAGTGGCTAGAAAAACAAATGAATTTTGAAAAACCAATAGCTAAACACCTAATCGAGATGAACCATAAGATTGATGTTAACTCAGCCTTTAAGGTCATCTATAAAAACGGTCAAGGGTGCTTATTGAAATACACCAAGGCTGAAGCTATTCAAAAACTGAAGCTCCCCCCCTGTGTCTTCAAAAACATTTTATTATTACTCTTTACCTACTTTGGTAATCCTTATTTGATTGGATTACCAAACGTTGTGTTAATCATTCTTAAATCTTTTTCTGTCACTTTGTTTAATTTAACATTTTCACATATATATCGACTTGACAAGTAAATGTGTGAGGGATCAGATTGTTCGAAATGTATAGCGCAAATACATCACATCGTTTTTCAGATAATCTCCGTCTTCTTATCACGCTATCCAATAATAAGATAAAATAATTGGATGACATGCTTGTGAATATTTAAAAGTAAAGGTTTCAAAGGGTTAGTGTTGTAGTCAGTGTTGTGAGAAGAATAAACAAATGAGATTTTGAGGGGTGAGAAATAACAGTGTATTTTTCAAGGCATTTGTTACAATATGACCATCATCTAAATAACTATTCTCTCACCCTCATCTGCTTATGTGTGGCCACACACACAAATATATATGTGAATCGCTATACCATATAGAGTGTGACGTAATCGTTTGTGCAAATGCTCAGGTTTGTCATAGAGCATGCATATTTTTGTTTTCGGCAGTTTTCAGTCTGTAATTCCCCTATGTGCGTTTTACATAGAGGTGCGGAAATTCCTGTAATAATTCACAGCAGTTTCAAGTATTGGTTTTGCAGAGATTTGACTTGATAGGTTGCAGGATTTCATCATGAGCTGACATCAGTTAGAGAACCATTGGAAAACCTGCAGAGAATACTGGACAGTTGTTTCGTCCGTCCTAGTTTGGGACTCCTCATCAGTTTGCATTCACTGGGGTTCAAAACCAGGACCTTCTGGTTACAAGGCAAGCTCTTAGACCATTAAGCCACTTGGACGTGATCCATTTAGCAGCGCATGAATTCCAACTTTTGACGATTCATGATATAGTGCGACCACTAGCGAATGTCATTTGCGAATATCTGTCCTCACACCCGTGACCAGTAGGGTACAGCAGGTCACTTAAGTTAAGTTTGCAATGTAGTCACCATTTTGGATAGCTCACCATTATGGTGCGCTCGGAATTGCTGTAAGATGATTGGTTGGTTGGTTAGTTGACAGGAAGCCTTAGATCTAGGTCAATATGGAGTATCTGCAATCTTACATACCAATCAAACGTTCGAATAAAACAAGTCGGAAAGTATTTATTTATTTGTTTCTGCGTGAGAACATGGGCTGTACCAGAAAGACTACAATCAACAGTCGTTTCCATCATATGCCTTATCCTCAATAATTTATCAAATGTGATTGAATATTGGCTACTTTATGGAATCTACGAGTTCCTACACAACCTTTTCTTCACTTTACATTGTATCAGTGATGTATACCTTTTATATATCATCGTCTTTTCCCCCTGAATGACTTATAACTTTTTGTGATAGGCAACCATGCAGTTCTGGGTCTGATCCTTCATAGAATCGTCCCATCTCGGAAAGTTCAGTACTCGTCATTTTTCAGTGGTTTTTTCCAGGCTTCTTAAATTAAAATCAACTAGACCTACAAGAAACTTAGATTTTCGACAACACAATAAGAAGACGTAGTTTATCTGAAACGTGTAATGTATTGTTTGTTCAAGCGCATTCACCGTATATGTACTGCCGATACAATTGAAGAAGAAAGACAACACCTCACTGAAATATTGTTAGATAACAATTACCCACTGAAATTTATTAGACGTTACGGAAGTGTCAACCATAGAGCTTTACCAATCCAATCACCTCCGAAAAAGGATGTTTACATATCCTTGCCGTTCAGAGGTGATCAACAAAGTCTAGTCACTAGACAAAGACTTATAGAACTTATTATGCAGCTAAACTTATCTTCATAGGGAAAATTAGAACTATGCTGTCCCGTAAACCCTCACAGTATCTGAACGATAGTGTCACATCCCACTGTGCTTATCAATTTACATGTATGTGTGGAGACACGCACATAGGGAGGACCCATCGGTCTCTGCAGGTTAGGGCTACAGAACACATTCGAAAGTGGCTACAACAACAAATGAAATCTCCAGACACAAGTGAACCCGGAAATATATGTCCAACATCATCTATAGCGAAGCATATTATAGAGAGGGGTCATATGGTTGATTTCAACAATGCGTTTAAGCCGAAATATAAAACAAAGTTGGGCCGCATATTTAAATTCACTGAAGCCTTAGCCATAAAAAGACTTCAAACTGTCTTATGTGTTCAAAAGTTATTTGTTATCACCTTAAACCTGCCTTGGTAATCCAATTTAGAACCAAGGACCAATTTACTTCATAATATTTTCAGCCCCTTCTTTGCCTTGTTTTTCTCTTCTTATCTTTCTTACCCACACCTTTTGCGTCTCCCTACCCATTATTTGTGACATTGACCTGTATACAATCTGACCTGTATTGTAATTATTGATGCCTTCTTGCATTCTATAAAAACTGTGTATGACAAGTACCTGTGTGATCAGAATGTCCGAAATGTGTTGCGCCAATACATTACACGTTTCAGAAAAACTACGTCTTCTTATTGTGTTGTTGAAATTCATAAAGGGAACTAATTGCTTTAAGCTTAGATTTGAATCACTCAGATAATCTTTCATGCAACCGGTTCCCTTTATTAGTTTGAAGAGAGAAAGAACGAACATGTTTGCAGGATAATACGAGCTCGTTTTATTTCGTGGATTCTCATCAACTGCATACATCCTAAACAAAATCAAATTATAGGTTTCAAGAAAGTTGTGGAACATACTTTTTCATAAATACTTTGAGTTATAGATAGAAGGCATAAGGAACATAATTCCAGAATTTGATGTAGGTAGACAGATTATTCGGTGTCAAAAAACAACTAATTATATATAGTGGAATTGGATAAGAGGGGTAAGAGTTCAGATTTCTATTGGAAAACAACACAGATTGGTTAGAGGCATATTACAGGGTTAGGGTCAGAGAACAAAGTAAATTTACACATCTTGTGGTGGAGAGTTTAAGAGGGTGGGGGTGAATAGTGAAGTAACATTTATGACTTAAACAGACAAACAATTAAGTAGATTTAGAAACTTGAAGGTCAAAATTGAATAGAATGTTACGTAACAAGACAAACACACAGGCATACTGACAGAAAGGCAAAACAAAAATAAAATAAAATAGAGTTAAAGTTACCAAGGTAGTGAAAGATTAATCACACTATCTTTCTGTATACAAAGGTCTGGTCGAAATCTCTTGATAGCAATGGCTTCTGCGAAGCGAAGTAGCCGTGGGTTTCTTTGTGTATTGATTATTTTGAAGGCTTGGCTGATTTCTACTGTGTGTCCTGTGTCAATTAGATGTCTGGCGATTGCACTTGATAACACTTTTGTTCCTTTTGTACGGAGACTCTTAGGAATGTGCTCAGAAAATCTGGTAGATGCTGTCCTCTCAGTCCTTCCTATGTACTTGCTACCGCAGGTGCACGTGAATTGGTAAATGCAGTTGGAGTTGACGTGAGTAGGGAACTCATCTACTTTTGACTGGGTTAACGAGCACACAGTGTTGTGAAGTAGGATCAGTCTGGCAGCTGGGAACGTTCTTTTTAATGCACCTGTGATTCTGTTTGTGTTCTTGTGGATACGATTAAGCAGTGACAGCCTTCTTGTCACCCGCTAATGGAGACCAATTCAAGGAAACAAACCATTCAATGTTTACCAACATTGATAATTTTTGTTTATCACTTGCCCGAACACTCATCACATTAAATGCATTCTTTAACTATAGAACATGTTGATGATGTTATCATAAAGACTGTTCTTTGTTCATTGTTTCTATCAGATAAATCAAAAAAGTAAATTTAATATTTTACCAGCGATATGTTTCAATTAGACACCACCGTACAGTTGCTATGGTGTTATCTGAGGAATCACTGTATTACGCAAACACAATCACATATGAAATATAACTCCTAACAGCTAAGTCCTCATGTGGTGAGAGCTGTCTGCAAGCCAAAATTGTGGACAACAATTCACGTCAATGTTTCAGTCCGGAATCGGGGGCATGAGAAAAAACACAATAACAGCGTAACGTTGAGAAACTCAACGACCAATCACAGCCTGCCTAACGTATGCAAATACGATTCGCAGATATATGGCTTAGCTTTCTGAGAAACGGTCACAAGCAGTACAGAATAACCTTCAGTAAGAAAACAACCAATCAGAAGATGTTGCTTCTCTGCTGACAATAACGCTAATAATAATGTACATAATAATCTATAAATATCTCTTAATTTTCTCAATAAAAGAGCATACACTCGTACGAGTCAAGTAATATTTTCAAAAAGCGAGTCGAACTCCAGTGGTCCCTATCGAGTATTCTTAGTTCAGCAGTGAAGATGACACTTGTCTAGTGCAATATGCATTCTTCTTACCTACATTGCTTACCATATAAGAACATTAATAAGTTTATTGCTGTTTATTGATGGATAATTATGTTGCTTTTAATACATATCGAGTAATTCTGCATCTTTAAACCACTTCCTATTCTCTTTCTTTCTTTTTAAGGTGGTGTGGAAATGATTCGTTTAGGTGAAAATATTATTGAATACTCAAAAGACTTTCGTTTGTATATTACAACAAAACTTAGAAACCCGCATTATTTGCCGGAGATTGCAGTGAAAGTTTCACTTTTGAATTTTATGATTACACTAGAAGGTTTAGAAGATCAGTTATTAGGTATTGTTGTGGCTAAAGAGAAGTAAGTTATATATATATTTTTTAAATACAATAGGCTTTTATCTCTCTATCTAATAGTGTTAAACTGTTGTGTATGTTTCACAGTTAATTTAAACCTTTGGCTATTAATTTGCATTTTTATTACTGAATGTCGCCTGGGGAATATTGTGAAAGTCGATCGACTAGTGGTGTTTACGGCTTTTCAGAGATAAAGATTTTGATTTTTTGTTAAGCTGCCAAAGAACAACGACTTAGGCCTGTGCAAAAACAGGCGTGGAATCATGCTCCCACCCACACTAAGCAATATATTAAGTCGTATCCTCTTGAATAGATTGAAAGATACTCCCCTCACACCCGGAACAAGCTGGATTCAGGAAAGGCAAATCATCTACTGATCAAATTGCAACTCTACGCATCATTGAACAGAGCATTGAATGGCAGTTAAACCTTTACCTCAGCTTTTTTCAGCGACTTCGAAGAGGCCTTCGACAGACAGCGTTGTCCGAGAGGCAAGCTGGAAATTATTTCAACACTATGGTGTGCAGTGCCCGAATCTTTATCAACCTCATTCAGCAACTATATAATGATGTGACTTATCAAGTGGCCCAAAACGGCAAACTCAGCGAAGACTTTGAAGTTAATACAGGAGTAAGACAAGTCTGACTACTATCACCATGAGAGCGGGAAGATCGGAATACGTTGTACCTATGAGTAGACATTAGAAGATCTGAATTTCGTGGACGATTTGTGTCTGATATCACACAAACTCGAAGACTTACAGGTGAAAACTGATAAGTTAGCATAACAGTCAAGCAGCGAAGACAGGACTTCAAGTGAACATAGAGGAGACAAAAGTGATGAAGGCAACCAAACAACAACAGTCTCCAATCACTATCAACCGAAGAAATTTGAAGCGGGTCACTTCCTTCATTTATCTAGGCAAAATCGTCTCAACTAAGGGTGGATGGTACGGATGAGGATGTCAAATCTAGCTAGGATTGGAGAAGCTAGACATGCCTTCATTGTTCTGAAACCATTGTGAAAATATACTGCACTCTGTATAAACGAGATTCGGATTTTCAACACCAATGTACCTGTATGTGGTTCAGAGACTTGGTCAGCAGCTCTTCTCCTTTAACACCATACTAAAGATTAGATAGATAGTATTGATTAGCAGGAAAGAACCCTAGGAACAAACCAACCAAGAACCTGTTGTCCAACAAATATACCGAAAGAAGCCTCGAAAACAAGCTGAGAAGACTGTCGCGCTCCAGGCCATCGCTCGAGTTGAACCCGACTGGGGAATGGCGAGTTGGGAGAGTATCCGAGGGTAACACGAAGGAGATCGTGTGTTCCACTCGGAACCCAAGGTAGTAATCATGATAATAACAGAGAAAAAGATTTTGAAGCCATCTTCCAAGTTGCGGTGTGAGTATCCCCCCCCCCAAAAAATGCACTTTTCTCATTACTTCAATGAGGATTTTGTTTTCATAAATCCTAGTAACCTATAAGACATGCATTTTAAATTCTAACATTTTATAGATCTCATTTGTTCTTCTCTTATATTTGAAAATCTCATGGAAATAAAGCAAAACTCAGTGATCTTCTCACTACTAGTCTAATCTGATTTGTACTCGTATGTGTGGGTTAACGTGTGTGGGTGGGTGGTAAAATAAAATTTTTAGTTATTTGAATGATATGACACCTAGCAAATGAATTTTAAATGTCATCAAACATTTTTACGATGGTGATTTAACTTTTCAGTTTTTCTTCCCCATATTGTATGAATGTATTATTTTCTATAGTTTGGTTTTTAAGGGTTAGTTATGTTTTTACGAGTTGATCACGGATTGATATCAGTTAGAGGACCATTGAAAACCAGGGAGTACTAGATAGCTGTTTCATCCTAGTTTGGGGATCATCGGCAGTAAATAAACCCACTACAGGAGGTTCGGACCCAGGACCTTCCGGTTACAAGGCAAGCTCGTATATTATTCAGCCGTTGGGACCTGATTCATTGGCCAGCCAATGAATTCTAACTTCTACCAATTCGTGATTTAGAGCGACCCAACTGAATCGGGTCCCAGTGGCTGAATGCTATACGAGCTTGCCTTGTAACCGGAAGGTCCTGGGTTCGAATCCCAGTGGGTGCGTACTGCCGATGATTCCCAGACTAGGATGAAACAGCTGTCCAGTACTCCTCCCTAGGGGTTTTCAATGGTTCTCTACCTGATATCAATCCGTGATCGACTCGTTAAAATGAATGTATTATATGTGATCACCGTCGTCGTCTCACATTTCATAATATTTTGTAGCTGCATACAATCACACGAATACTGTGGTTGTGCTGAATATATATATCACGAATGCGTAGAAGTTGGAATTCACGGACCAGTGGGTCGGGTTTCAGTGACTGACTAGTCTGCGGGCTTGCCTTGTAACTGGAAGGTCATGGGTTCAAAACCCGGTGGCGCATACTGATGAAGAGTCCAAAACTAAGACGAAACAGCTCTCTAGTACCCTCGGGTTTCTCAATGGTTCTCCAGATGATGTCAACTCATGGTCTATTATGTAACGTATACTATTTATTTTGTCGCCCTCCAATTAATGGCCATTATTATAGCATAGTTGTTTTTGTTCTGCGAAGAAATATATATTTTCAACGACTTCATTTTCAAGCTACACAGTCGCGTTTATATTACGGAAAAGTGCATTAACTGGCACTGAAGACTGCTCAGTCAATATACATATATTAAGAATAATGATAATTAACATAATGTTTAAGTGGGTGGAGTAGAAGTGGATAAATTAGAAAATGTTTTTAGTGATTATTCAGTAAGTGGAGTGTAAATTTGAAAATTAGTTCATGTATTGTCAAACCATTAAAAATGCGATTATGACAACAGTCAGGAAGGCGAAGATGAAATGAAGTGGAATGAATTCAAGTGGTAAAGTAGAATAAAATTTAAAAAAACTTTGTGACCATGGGAAAGAAAGGGGTCTTACAAAACGTTTTTGAATACACAGTTCAGGTTTTTATCCACGTATAGCTAGAGTTTCGGGCATAGATAAGTGGAGGAAAAGTAATGTGTGACTGAATTTAGCCCTGTAGGTAACTTTTAAACATCATTTGATAATTCCCATTGTAACACTAAGTAATACAATATTCAGAGAAGAGACTCTTTTCAACGAATTCATTATCAAGCTGTATAATCGTATACACTTGATGTTTTAAAAGAAATTATATCCGGTTAGGGAATTGAATGAAAGGTGTGAATAAATGAAATAATAATAATAGTAGTATGAAATGCAATTAAAATATTTGTGATTATAATCGTAGTTAAATGTCAAGTGGCAAAACAATTAATGTCATATATAGAATAATTCATAAAATGTATAGATGTTGGGAAGGGGTGTATAATTATGGAGTTAGCAGGCTAATATAAAACGTTACATAAGATGGTGTGAAATTTGATAAGATGGAATCTAACTTAGCAAACAATTTTTTGGATTTAGAATGGCAAGTGCTACAAGTGAAATAATACCGGAAACATTTCAAAGGTTTGACTTGAATTCATGAATGGCTAAGGCCTCCTCTGTCTTTAGAAGTTTCGAACGAAGAAAACACGGCAAGTTAGCATGAATCCGATAGATGATCTTAAAATCATGGTCAGGGTTGGTAGAGTGACAGGAATCGATCAAGTGTTCTAGAATAGAGCTTCGCACATACTTCCTTTCTCCCTTGTAAAATCATGCTGGAATACGTTCTCATATCCGTATGGAAAGCGTTTTCTGACTACGGTCAACGTACGTCACTTCACAAGAGCAGGAGAACTGACCGATGCACTTGGAAGCTACCAGACACGGAGCTAATCTTTTACAGAGACGGAGAACAGTTTACGACTGGTATCCATCATTTGTTGTTCTGCAGCAAAGAACGTGTTACCTACTGATTCAGAGAGACGATTTTTGAGCATATCTGAAGCCTGATCGGATTATTTGTTTTGCCACTTGATATGTAACTACAATTATAGACAGGAACATTTTAATTGCATTTCATATTATAATTATTTCACGTATTCATACTTTTGTTTCAGTTTCCTCACGGGATATAATTTCTTTAAAAAGGCATATATATATATGCGATTGTACAGCTTGATAATAAATTCGTTCAAAAGAGTCTGTTCGTTGAATATTTTGTTTTTAATAGATGAATCACGTGGGGCTAAATAATCTGACTCCAAATGGTATTCACAAACTGGGAGACTTTGTAATCCCATGCTCGCTTTTCATCAACCAAATCGGATAGTGCTCATCCATGCGTTTCTGGAGGACACGCTTACAATTGATTACAATGTAATCAGCTCCATAGGAGCATGTGAATACGTAGATGCAAAGAGAGTTGAACGTATTTAGTGGTTTATCCTTGAATCATTGTACAATCAACTTAATTATTAGAGGCTTAACTTGTAGATTTTCATTATTATTATTATTATTGTTCCCTTGGGTTCCTAGTGGAACATAGGGCTTCAACTGCACGTCTCCACTTGCTTCTGTCTTCTGCTGTTCTTTTCACTTGCGTCCATGTTATTCCATACTGTTTCATCTCCTCCTCACACGATCTCCTCCATGTCACCCTTGGACGTCCCACTCGCCGCTTCCCTTTCGGGTTCCACTCGAGGGCTTGACGCGCGATGTCACTCAACGGCCTCCTCAGCGAGTGTCCAATCCATCTCCACTTCCTCCTGCATATTTGTTGGGCGATTGGTTCTTGTTTTGTTTGTTCCCATAGTTTCTTGTTTGTGATTCTTTCCGGCCATCTGATCTTGAGTATAGAGCGAAGACAGTTGTTGATAAAGGTCTGCAACCTGTTGAAAATATTCTTGGTGACCCGCCAAGTTTCTGATCCGTAAAGCAAAATTGACTTGACGTTTGTATCGAAAATCCGAATTTTGTTGTTGTTGATGCTGAGTGACGAAGATTTCCAGATTGGTTTCAGGTTGATGGATGTGTTTCTCGCCTTCCCGATTCTCGATTTGACATCCTCGTCCGTTCCTCCTGTGGTTGAGACAATGCTCCCCAGATAAGTGAAAGAAGTAACCTCTTTCAAATCCCTCCGGTTGATGGTGATTGGCACTGGATGTTGCTGCTGTTGTTGGTTATTTTCATAACCTCCGTCTTGTCTATGTTCACCTGGAGTCCTGTCTTTGCTGCTTCTTCGACCAGTTTGTCGGTTTTTGCTTGTAAGTCTTCGATTTTGTGTGACATCAAACATAAATCATCCATGCACGAAATCCAGGTCTTCTAGGTTCTTCACGTCGGTCCAGGATATCCCTGTCTTCTCGTTTCCCACTGTCTGACGCATAATCCAGTCCGTCCACCACAGTTAGGAATATCATTGGTGATAATAAGCACCCTTGTCTGACTCCTGTAGATTTTCATTAATCAATTGTTATTCATTCATAATTACCTTCAATAGTTAACATTGACTAGTCCGACTATAAATAAGATTATATCTATATGGCATTTTTGCTTCACACTTGATCAAAGTACAATAAGATCACTATGGATGGATGTTTGACAAGTAATATAAGTGTGTGAAGTATTTCTATATGTTTTCAAGAATTGGTTTTGTGGGAATTTTGTTTGATTGGTTGGAGGATTTCATCATGAGCTGACATCATTTAGAGAACCATTGGTAAACCTGCAGGGCACTACTGGACAGCTGTTTCCTACGTCCTAGTTTGGGACTCTTCAACAGCACGCACCCACCACCAGGATTCGAATCCCGGACCTCCTTGTTACAAGGCTAGCTAGCTCGTAGACCATTAAGGCACTCACTAGGACCCGATCCAATCGTCAGCCAGCCCATGAATTCTAACTTCAGCCAATTCACTCACGACATAGCGTGACCACTTCACGATTTCTTCTTTTATGAGTTACTGCCTCACCTTCAACCTGATGCACCTTGCTGGTCACGGCTTTCCATTATAACCCTCCTACCTGAATAGAGCCAGTCGCTAGTGTGCATCTCATTGATATTCAAGAATTGGCTTTGTAGGGATTTTGTTTGATTGGTTAGAGGACTTTTATAGGTGCTTATAGTTGAGACGACAGACATGTTGTTATGAATTCAAACACCAGCCGATGTAGACATGTTTACACTAAACTGTCTTTTTTTCAAATTAGGTTTTCAGTAGTAAATTAAGTCGTCTGGTCAAGTTTAAGGCGCCTATGTAAACACATTAAAATACGATGAAAAGCACAATAAACATTCACAATTCATCAAAATGCCTTGAAGATATGCAAATTTTCGATGCCATTTGTTTTCGTTTTGTTATAGTGTGATGAGGAAATGATACTTATTGATCTTATTGATTGAAGAAAATCTCTAAATCACTCGTAAATTGTTGAATTCAACTCAGGGTGTGTATAGAAACTAGTCTTGAAATCAGGACGTCGCTAAAATTAGCTGGTTTTTTTCACCTATTCAAAGTTTCAGCAACTTGAAAAAGTGAGAGTTATACATCTGTACGTCTTATTGTTTAAGTAAGTACAATGGGCGACTGTGTTCCACCATGTCGGATAATTTTAGCAGAAAACAACGTCACAAGAGTTATATAGCAATTTTGTATCTATTTCAGACCAGAATTAGAAGAAGCACGTCAAGAATTGATTATAACAACCGCAAACAATAGACGTATGCTTAAAGAGACTGAAGATAGAATATTAGCTACATTATCAGAATCTGAAGGAAATATTTTAGAGAATGAAGCTGCTATTGAAATACTGGACTCATCGAAATTAATTTCAGATGACATCTTAAGAAAACAGAAAGTAAGTTACAAAGCTGTCTTGTTTTCCTCTTTCAGGGGTCTATTTTTAGTAAATTTAGTGTTAAGACTCATAAGAATAGGATTTTTAAACCTCTTAAATTCAGTAAGGTTATAATGGAGAAGATTTGTAGCTCAGGTGGATGATATGGAATTAATTGTGTTCTCTGAGCTGTTAGTTGACTTAATTGCTGAGCTTTCATCATCCTTCTAGAGAACATCTTCAGCGCAGGTTATTGGTATAAAATGGACTTGTTTAAATTCTCCATGAATGATGTAATTATATCTCCTGGCGACCATTATCGTGACTGGTTGTTGTTAATTATCGCCTCCATTTATAATTTTTCTATTGGCTTGGAATTCAAACTTTAGATATAATTGAGAAGATATTTAGCTCAGGCGGATGAGTTTGGTGTAGTTGGGTTCTCTGAGCTGATGGTTAATTTGCGAAGCTTTCATCGCCCTACTAGGCAACATCTTCAGCGCATACTTCATTTTGTTGAAGTGAGGTCTTAAATTTCTTCAGGGGGTTTGTTACTTATCTCCCCTGGTTGCGTAGAGCGCGATCGGTTGTTATTGTGTGATTTCACACCCTCTAGGCTACTTGTATTGGAACTGATTGTTTCCTTGAGTTGAACATTAACCCTTAGTGTGTGAGATTTCCTTTTTATCGATTGGTGAATTTTGTCTATGTCGATGTGCCTATTAATTGACGATTCACTGGAATAACAGGCTTCTAAAAATTCTCTAGTATTCTTGGTGTTTCCTCAGTGTAATATTTGAACTTTGTCCCAGGTGAATTGATGTCCGTGGTTGTCTGTATGCAGTGAGGCGATATGAGGGAGTGGATGTCATGTCTTTTGGTAGCTAGTTTATGTTCATGGCTACAAAGACGAAGAGGACGTCCACTTTGGCCAATGTAGTGTTTTTCGCAATTGTTACAATTTATTTTGTAGATAATGTTGGCTTTATCTTCTTTCACTGTTGAATCCTTTGGTTAACATACAGCTAGCTGAGTGAAGTGATTTTGTTGGTTTGTGTGCGATTTCAATTCCTAAAGGTTTGAAGTGTCTTGCAGTGATTTCTGAGGTGCCTTTTATATATGGTAGGGCGATTTTCTTTGTGCTTTCCTTGGTGGCCTTTGATTTGTTAGGTTGGCTTGGGGGTATATGTCTTTTGAGGAAATTTCGTGTATATCCATTCTTTTGGAAGACACACGCTACGTAAACCAAAGTACCTGCCACAGGTGGTCAAATCTATGAAGTCATTGACTGTTAGAGTAATGTACGGAGTTAAAGACTACCTTTATGGAGTCATAGAGATATCAAGAATCACTGTTTGCAGATTCTTGGTAAACTATTTAAAATAGTTCAAAGTGCCCCTCATGTATTCGTTTTTTGTTATTTGCCAAGTTTTGGAAAACTTCAGAGATCTATAATGAAACATTTTCCCGCCTTTTTCATGTTTGTCTATTGTAGTATCATTATATTTCTGCACCACACTGATTTGTGAAACTTTATGAGTCGTCATAATATAGACTGACGAACTTTTTGCAAAGTTATTTGATTATACATCATCTAGTTCCTTCAAAGCGCACACAAAGACCTTTGAGAATCCGTTATATGCAGGGGTTAAACGTCTTAAGGCAGATTCATTCAGAACTATATATATATATATTATATAGTTTGAGGCAATCGGCAGGAAGACTTCGACCTAGGTGTCGTGCTAGTTGGCACTCGTCAGGACTAGACACTTCACACTATTTACAAGTGTCCAATCATAGTATCGAATACAGTCCTACTGGAGGTCAATCGCGGGCCCGAATAGCTAGCTTAGTGGTAACGTCTCTGGCTGCAGCGCCCACTGGATGACCCGGGTTCGAATCTCCTCAGAGTGGACATTAGTTCCTTCAAGATTTCAGATAAGCCTTTCTGACTGGTGAGTGCCAACTAGCACGAAACCTAGGTCAGGCAAGGCTTCTTGTGGCCGATTGCCTCCAACCATCTAATATCATCAAATCAATGTGCATCGTAATGGCGAGCTACCCAGAATGGTGGTCACATTGCAAACCTTACTGACAGCATTCAGACTGCACTAAAGATGGGACTAGACACGTCACACTAGTTGCTGATGTGCACTCGAGCACTGGCCTGACGCGCGATGTCACCCAGTGGCCTCCTCAGCGAGTGTCCAATCCATCTCCACTTTCTCCTGCGTATTTGTTGGGCGGTTGGTTCTTGTTTTGTTTTTTCCCATAGTTTCTTGTTTGTGATTCTTTCCGGCCATCTGATCTTCAGTATAGAGCGAAGACAGTTACTTGTTGACATAGGTCTGCAACAGGCTGTTGGAAATATTATTTGTGACCCGCCACGTCTCTGATCCGTATAGAAGAAGAACTGACTTGACGTTTATATTGAAAATCCGAATTTTGTTGTTGATGCAGGCTGAGTGACGAAGATTTCCAGATTGATTTCAGGTTGATGAATGTGTTTCTCGTCTTCCCGATTCTCGATTTGACATCCTCGCCGTCCGTTCCTCCTGTAGTTGAGACAATGCTCCCTACCTAGAGAAGTGAATGAAGTAACCTCTTTCAAATCCCTCCCATTGATGGTGATTGGCGCTGGATGTTGCTGCTGTTATTGTTGTTGTTGGTTGGTTATTTTCATAACTTCCGTGTTGTCTATGTTCACCTGGAATCCTGTCTTTGCTGCTTCTTCGACCAGTTTGTCGGCTTTCACGTGTAAGTCTTCGATTTTGTGTGACATCAAACATAAATCATCCACGCGCGAAATCCAGGTCTTCTAGGTTCTTCACGTTGGTCCAGGATATCCCTGTCCTCTCGTTTCCCACTGTCTGACGCATAATCCAGTCCAGCACAATTAGGAATATCATTGGTGATAATCAGCACCCTTGACTGACTCATGTGTTTACTGCAAACGCCTCGCCGAGTTTTCCGCTTTGGATCACTTGACATGTGCCATTGTCGTACAGCTGTTGAATAAGGTATATATATATATATAAAATATGCATCTTTGTTTGATGTCCTAAGATAAATTTTTCTTTTCCATTGATTAAAAAAGGTTGCTGAAGAAACACAAATAAAAATTGACGCTGCAAGAATGGACTACTCCCCGATTGCTAAACACTCAGCTATACTATTCTTCTCATTGACAGATTTGCCTAACATTGACCCAATGTATCAATATTCCCTGGCATGGTTTGTTAATCTCTATGTGAATTCTATTCATGACAGGTAAGTATTAGGCTTTGAATTAAATTTTATAAAATTTAAGATGACTGAAAAACGAAAGGTCGCTTTCATCTGTTGGTTTGGAGATAAAGCGGCTGTGCGTTATGTCATTTTTACTTATAATTCAGTCTGTTGCTTCCATATCTTCACACAACTACAAGTGAATGGCTTCATCAGTATGTGTTCTATCAAAAGACTGACTATTTTGAATTACATCTGGGAATATATTGAAGGCTTGTGCAGTGAATTAGTCATTAGATTGAGGTGAATAGATTTCCAATATTCAGTAGATTTCAAAGTTGCTTCTTACAGATGTTTATTTGATGTAGTAGTCAGAAGGTTTCTGTAGACTTCTATGAGTAACTGCTAATTCGTCTGAAGGCCTGAGAAGCTCTCATTAAAGTACATCATGTCGTTACTCACTGAAAATCTATGCATATTTTCATTTCTATAGTGGTCGATTTAGTCTTGTAGTCTTTCCATATCTACCTAACAAAGTGTTTATTATTCAATTGTCTATGATATTCTGATATTTGCGAAACAGCTGTCTAACTTTGAACATTTATTTCCCCTTTGTGAATTTGAATAAAGCGAAAACAACAGCTTGTGCTGTCGACTAAATCGTGTTTTAGCAGGCAACTTCATGTCCAATTCTGAGAGAACAAAGTTGAAACTTAAGTAATTCTATATTAGTTTGTTTATTAGATGTATCACACAGTGAGTGAAACAGTATTATTTACTGAATGACATTTCGAACAAAATTTATTATCGTTCATAATCATATCAATTATAATCACATGACTTCGAAACTTGAATTTCATAGTTTTCTCACTTCTCTCATATTTGTCGTCGTTGGGATAGTAGAATTTTCCAGATGTCTGGGCGGACAGGTGTTGAATCATTCCTATTACACGTATTTGCAGTTGATTCGATAAACAAAGCTTCTGTTATCAATCAATCTCTCCCTCCACCCTGTGACATTAGATTTTAAAACTGTCATCCTATTGTTTGTTTGAGGACATAATGCTGGGAGTGCAGCTATGCCTGACTTCCATAGTATTTAAATTCCGAGGGAAAATATACAAACAAACTGAGGGAGTTGGCATACGGTCATCGATATCCTCAACTGTGGCAGATATATTCATGGATAGGTGGGAAAACTTAGCGACTGAAACGTTAAGCCCCACTCCAAAAGTATGGTGGAGGTGTGTAGATGACACATTCACTGTACTTAGAACACAGGATATAAGTAAACTTTTTGAACACATTAACTCGAAGCAGGAGGCAATTCAATTCACTTGTGAATTGAAAAGTCAGGAAGGGGAACTTTCAATGTTAGATTGCAGTGTAAAAAGAAAAGAAGATGGAGAGTTAAACACTAGTGTTTACAGGAAACCCACACATTCAAACAGATATTTAGATTTCCGATCATCATCTGCAAACAAGTGTAATAGGAATGATTCAACACCTGTCCACCCAGATATCTGCGAAATTATACTACCACACCTATGACGATAAATAGGAGAAGACAAAGAAAACTATATAAGTCAAGTTTCAAAGTCGTGTGATTACAATTGATATAATTGTGAACAATAAATTTTGTTCGAAACGTCATCTAGTAAATAATACTGTTTCACTGTGTGATATATCTAATAAACAAACTAATATGGAAATACTTACTACCACAGTGTCGATATCTCGATGACACATTTGTAGTTTGAAACAAAGAGATTTATACTTCTTACCTACTCGGATTATTCAATGACACATTTACAAATATTGAATTCACACTACTGAGCAGGAAAACGATGAAACGTTTCATTTTTCTGACATTGGCATACAAGGCCTGGAAGATGGTAGTCTTTGGAGATCAGTTTATTGAAGGCCTACATAGAATGGACAATACCTACATTTTAATAGTTTTTGTCTAAATAGCTGTGAAGGAGCACTGGTCAAAACTCTATCCCATAGAGGCAGGAGAATATGCTCTTCAGAGGAATTAGAGGAAGGATTTATGATTCTCGAAAAGATGTTGAAAAACTACGGCTATCCTCACAGATTTATAATCAAGTATGCAAGATGTGAAGGCTCAAACATCGAACAAACCACAATGGGAAAAAAGCCCGTCTTCATTCAACTCGCTTTTAAAGGTGAAAATATGACAGCAGTTGTCAAATGAAGATTGAGGA